TTTCTATCTCTCTCTCTCTCTGTCTTTCTGGCGAGCGCAGGCACCCTATAGCAAAAAAACTCTCAAAAAAAAAGCGCAAGCAAGCATGCAAGCACGCACCCCCTAGGGAGTGGTCATGTGGCAGTCCCTTCTCCATCTCTTTCACCTTTTGGGATTCAGGGCACACGTGTGCTTGCACCATGTGTGTTTCTCAGGCCGCGGGTCTGGGACTCCAACTGTGCAGTCAGACAGGTGGAATCCATGCCTTCACTGCCATTTCTGCATCCAGCTTGCCTGTTCTTTCACTTAGCATTCACTGCAAGAGGCTCCCCCTTGAAGCCCCCGTCAGCACCTCATCCTTACGGGCGAATGAGTTCCTTGACCACAATTGTTTATCCATCCATCAGGTGATGAACACTGGGTTGTTTCTGTCTGTTGCCTGGTGCGCCTGATGTTGTCATAGACATTCATGCACAATGTGTTTCTGCTGGAAAATATTCCTGGGAATGGAGTTGCTGGGGATGGAATCTATCTGGGAATGGGATTGTATCAAATAATAACTTTCTGAAGAATGGCCAGTCAGTAAGTAGCCGCATTCCCCTGGCAGTGCTGAGGATTTGATCGCTCTACATCCTTCTCAGCCTTGTTGTGATCTGTCCTGCTCACAGCTGTCCGAGTAGATGCGAAGTATAAGTTCATGGTTTCGATTTGCATTTCCCCAATGGGTAATGGGCAGATTCTCATGTGCTTATTGGCTGGAGAAATGTCTAGTCAAATCTTTTTAAATTGGGTTTTCTTTCTCTCTCTTTTAAAGAGGTTTTTGTCTTAGGTATATGCGCTCACTGGTGAGAGAGAGAGAGAGACAGAGCGAGAGGGAGAGCGAGAAATCACCCTCCGGGGAGATGGCCACACTGAAATCCCTTCTCCATTCTCCTCCTGGGATCTTGTCCATGCACGCACATGTGCTGGCATGAGTTTCAAGCCACTGGGACCCAGGACTCGAACGTGTGGGAATACAGGAACATAACTGCTAGGCCGTCTGCTGGTACCAAATTGGGTTCTCTTTATTATTAAGTTGCAATACTCAGTGCTTTCTGGAAAAGAGAGTCCCTTATGAGAATAATTTGCAAAACTTTGGTCTCGTTTGGTGTGTTGTCTTCATTTTGTCGTTAGTGCTCTTTGACGCACACAGTTTGAAATTTCAGTGAGGTTGGAACCAGCAGATGGCACAGCGGTTTCCTCACTGTACTCCCGGGAGTACTCCCAGTTCTCTGCAGTTTGAGTCCTGGATCTGGCGGCTTAAAACTCACACCAGGTGCATGTGCATGCATACCCAAGAGCCCAAAGAGAGAATGGAGGAGAAGGGATTGCAGTGAGACTCTTCCCCAGGGGTGATTTTCTTTTCCATCTCTCTGTCTCTCCAGCAAGCACACATGCCCTATAGCAAAAATCTCTCTCTCTCAAAAAAACAAACAAACAAACAAAAAAAACTTCGATGAAGTCTGATTTATCCTTTTTTACTTACTTATTTTGTCACTTGTGCTTTTACTGTCATGTCTAAGAAGTCTTTGCCAAATCCAAGGTCTCAGTTTAGAGCTGTAGCTTTCACAGTTAGATCCATGGTCCATTTTGCGTTAGTTTTTACATGGTATGAGGCGGGGTGCACTTGCATTCCTTTACGTGTTGGGGTCCAGTTGTCTCAGCGCTGCTCGTTGAAAACATTGTTCTTTCCCCCCTGCGTGGTCTTGGCACCCTTGTCCCAAATCACTTGCCTGGGTGTCAGCAGGCGGCATGGTGGTTAGGGCGCTGGCCCTCCACATAGCGATGGTTCAAGTCCTAGATCCAGCGACTTGGGAAATCACACCATGAGACGGTTTGTGAGACAGCGGGAGAGCTGGCGGAGGTACAGCCGTGTGCGGGAGCAGGCTGGATTCAACACTGACGAGAGTCTGGTCTGACCAGACGGAGGGTGGAGGGGAGGGAAGTGGGGCCTGCAGCTGCTGTGGCCCCGTGATTGCCCTTAGGAGTTTCGTCTTTGACTTGCGGGCAGTAGAGAGCCAGAGAATGGTCCGTCAGGACTGTGAGGTGACTGGACCTGTTACCGTAGAGAGGCAGGGAACTGGAGGGGGAGGGCTTGGAAACGGGACACTGGTCAGGAGAGTGCTGTCACCCTGTGATGACCGAGGATGAGGCCTGACCGAGGAGGGGGCAGTGAGGCCGTCAGGCGGGGCAGTGCAGGGCTTGCTGACTGGCTGGGTGTGAGGGGGAAGGGAGAGGGGGAACTGCGGTGTCACCTGCTCGGCGTGCGGCCTACTCATATTCTTGTGTTTTGGTTCTTTCATGAATACAGATATTAAATTCTATCTGGGTGTCACTGTCCTTTTTCATGTAGAAATGTCTCTTTAAATCCACTTTTTTTAATTTGCAGGTCATTTATGGTCCAGGCAGCTTTCCCTAAACACCATTCCGGCAGCTCCCATTTTGGCATTGAAGACTGCTCTCAGCATCGGTGAGCTCACGTATTTAACCACCTCCACTCAGGAGATTTCATGTTGGAACATTTTCTGCGGTGTTTTAAAAATGTAGACCAGCAAGGCACATTCTCTTTCTCTTTTTTAATTGCCGGAGAGAGACTGAAACAAAGGAAGAGGGAGAAGCCACCCCCAATGGAACATGGTCATACCACAATCCCTTCTCCACTTCCCCATCCTATCTGGATTTGGGGCACACACACACCTCCACCCAGAATGCTCTTCAAGATGCTGAGGCCAGGACTTGAACTGTGGTTAGCCGTGTAGGACCCAGTTCCAGAACTGGCTCCAAAGCATGTTATTTATAGCGGAAATATGTCTGGCCTTTTTAAAAGACTTACCTGACCAGAAGCAGCAAGAGTTGGCTTCCTTCCTTCCTAGAGAATGAAGAGTATTTAAAAAAAATTTTTATGATTGTGGGGCAAGCAGGTGGCAGAGTGGTTAAGGTGCTGGACTCCCACATGGCCGACAGCCGTTGGAGTCCCAGCCCGGTGGCTTGAAACTCACACTAGGTGCATGTATGTGCGTGCCCAAGATCCTGAGAGGAGAATAGAGGAGAAGGGATTGCGACATGGCCATGTCCTTAGAGGGTAATTTTTCACTCTTGGTCTCTCTGGCAATTACACATGCAATTGCAGAAACCTCTCAAAAAAAAAAAAATGAATAAAATGAAAAAGAAATAGTAGCTAGCATTTACTGAGTTACGACTGCATGACGGGCGTGAAACCTGCTGTCTTAGTCCTCACGCAGTATTGCTGAGGAAGCTCTCATCCCCGTAGTCCAGACGATGCAGGAGTGTCTAAGCAGCTAAGGGACTTGTTCAAGAGCACACAGCCAGTCAGAGCAAGGCTGGGACAGGCCTTCTGGATACCGTGCCGCCCCCTCGGACGTAGCCAGGCCTTTCCCTGGAGTAGCGTCTCCTCGGTCGCTGTCAGGAGGTAAGGAGGTCAAACCTCACTGAGCCCTTTTGCCTGTGGTCCGTTAAATCTTTGCTTTTCTACATGGAAAAGGCAGAATTGAAGGCTCATCGTGTCTTTATGGCCCTCTTGAGGGTTGGGCTTGACTCTGGTCACACTCCCTTTCCTTGTTTGCTGTGTCTGTGAGATGCCCACGCACCTTGGATGAGAGGCCCCGCAGCGGGTCAGGCAGACCTGGCCCCTTCCCTTTATGGCCTGCTCATTTCTTGGCTGGTGGCTTCATTCATTCATAAACCACTTACTCCCTGCTTCACTGGTGTGGGCCCGGAGAGGCTTCTGTGAGGAAGGCCGGAGAGGGGCACTCTTGGCTGAGGGGACAGCCCTGGAGAGATCAAGTGAGGAAGAGCGCTGAGAGGGAGGGAGTGGGAGGAGGAGGGAGAGAACAAGAGGCATTTCTGATGAGCCCGCCATCGCTGCCCTGTGCCCCAGCCTCCCAGTTACCGTGGATCACCGCTGCGTGCCGCTGTGCTGGGCGTGTTCAGTTAGTCCTGGGACCCGAGCCGCCCGCTGTGTGGCCCAGCCGCGTGCCGTGGTTCCTGCTCACAGCTCTGCGGCTGCACCCTGCAGTGGAGGTATTTTGGTAGCTACTGTAACCATTTCATGTCACTTTTTCCCATTTTCAAATCTGTAATACGTTGGGTTGTCCGAAAAGTCAGGATGTATTTTTCTGTGTAAGAACGCACCCTGACTTTTCCGACACCCCGGTCTCTTTAGACATGGTCTTGCTATGATGCAGTCCTTCTGCCTTAGCCTCCCGTAGGTGGGACTACAGCTGCGTGCCATGGTGCCCAGCTCGCAGGGCGTGTCAGGAATCAGCCTCTGCTCCCCGCACGGCCTCAGCTTGCTGAGTAGCAGTGTCAGCCGCCAGCCGCACGTGCAGGGCCTGCATTTTAACCTTTGTGCTTAACCACGGTTTTTCTTTTTCCCACTTAAGATCATTTCTGGTGTGTGATCCTCTGCGGCAATGAAGCGGCTCTTTCCGTCTTCCTTGTAATTTCACATAGACTTGAAGATAGCTGTCTCCATCTGTGGTTTCTGTTTTCTATCCAGGGCTGTTTCCACCCGTCATCACTTGGCTTCTAGTCGCAAGCTTCTCTGCTGACTGCAGAGGTCAAGGGTCGGGGCGCTGTTTTGTTAGTCGTATTCCTGTTTCCCATCACCCACCAGTTCCTCTCACCTCTGCCTTCTTCCTCAGTGGACACCACCCTCCATGGGGTTGGTCAAAATGCTACCTCTAAGATATGCTGTTTAAAACATTTTTCCAGCGGGGTGCCAGCAGGTGGCATAGTGGGTAAGGTGCTAGACTCCCACATGGTTGACTGAATTTCTAGTGTTAGACCCTATGGCTTCAAACTCACACCGGGCACTTGTGTGTGTGTGTGCCCAAAATCCTAGGAGGAGAATGAAGGAGAAAAGATTGAGGTGAGGTGAGGTCATCACCCCTGGGGGGTGATTTCCTGCTTTCTGTCTCTCTGTAGCAAAAGTCTCTCAAAAAATTGTTTTTCTATAGAGGGTGCATGTGTGGTTGCAGGAGAGAAAGAAGGAACGTGAGGAAGCATTTCCCACGAGACCTGATCATGCTGTAATCCCTCCTCTGTCCCCCTCATTTAGGGATTTTGGGCACATGTGCACATGCAGCCGGTATGTTTCCCAAGCCACCAGTCCAGGACTCAGACTGTGCCACTGTAGAATACAGTCATCTCCTTGTTTCTTAAACCTTCGCCTAGGGTCCTCTCCCCTCCGGTTCTGCACTCTGCTCTACCCAGTCATTTGCAGGTCTTCCCTCCTCAGTGCACTGCCCAGCTGCATGCAGCAGAGGGCGCAATTCGCCCAGAGCAGGCGCCATAATGCAGGGCAGAAACCCTAATGTGGCCGATCTGCTCTTTTCTTTAGACAGCTATATCTGTTGAGCAAATGAACTGTGACTGCTCTAATTAGGAGGGGCACTTATGTTGTTATCAAGCAACAGTATTGTTTTATTTTTTCAAGAAAGACTGTCCTCCCAACATGATTGTGAACGTTTCTGGTTTTAGTGACTTACTTTCAGTAGAAGTAGCTATTCGGTGCTGGCAGTGCTTCTCCGGTCCTGGAACTTCTAACTCAGTTTCCTTCCATCTGCCCGCAGGTCCTCCGTCATCACAGGGATCCAGAGACAGCCGTCGCTTCGCCAGCTTGAGCCACGCCCTGCAGGCACAGTGCTGCATTTCTTCCGCCAGGAACTTGGCGGCCCAGCAGTACAGGCCGTATAGTTTCTTCACAAAGTGTACGTAGCGTGGCCAGGCTTCTCATGTCAAGAAACAGAAAAGTAAAAGATGTCTTATGTCGTCAGTTTTCTACTTTCTTAAATAACGTTTTAGTGGTGCACTGTTAAAAATGATCTTCGCTGTGCACGTACACATATACACGTAAACTTTATTTTGTAAAACTGTGATAGTGAATCATTGCACACATATTGCGTTGTCGGGAAGTCAGGACACATTTTTTGCATGGGAAAGCATAAAAATACATTGTTGCTTTCTCGACTACCTGATAGTAACCTCCCTATTCCCTTCTAGAAAATGACAGAAAAGAGTTGAAATACTATTCTATTTCAGATAACCTTTTAGGTTAATTAGAATCTTAAACTGGATGTGAAACTCAAATCTGTTAAAATTTGTCAAAAGAACTTAATTCTACTTGTGACCATTATGAAGTCACGCTCGTGAGTAACATTTAAGAATATGGAAAAGAATATAGAATGCAATGTGGTACATATTGTGTAATTTCAGTTTTCTTTAAAACAAACAAATATACGTGCTTGATGCGTGTGTAAAGAAAAAGGCAAAATGTACATTATGGTCTAATACCAGTAACAGGATTATGATTTTTATAGTCTTGTTTTTCAGGCTTATAAAAATAACTTTTATAATCCGAGAAGAGATGAAAAGACATTTAAAATAGCATGATGACATTCAAAAGTTAATGTATAACTTGATCTTAAAAAAAATGTAGTTAGAAATTTGTGGCAAGGTAGTTAAAGGCACTGGACTCCCACATGGCTGATCACAGTTCAAGTCCCAGACCTGGTGGCTTGCTTTCTTACTTTCCCTTTCTCTCTCTCTGTCTCTCTCTGATCAAATTGGAAAATAATAATAATAATAATAATAAAGTTCCTCCTCACAGCTCTGCGGCTGCACCCTGCAGTGGAGGTATTTTGGTAGCTACTGTAACCATTTCATGTCACTTTTTCCCATTTTCAAATCTGTAATACGTTGGGTTGTCCGAAAAGTCAGGATGTATTTTTCTGTGTAAGAACGCACCCTGACTTTTCCGACACCCCGGTCTCTTTAGACATGGTCTTGCTATGATGCAGTCCTTCTGCCTTAGCCTCCCGTAGGTGGGACTACAGCTGCGTGCCATGGTGCCCAGCTCGCAGGGCGTGTCAGGAATCAGCCTCTGCTCCCCGCACGGCCTCAGCTTGCTGAGTAGCAGTGTCAGCCGCCAGCCGCACGTGCAGGGCCTGCATTTTAACCTTTGTGCTTAACCACGGTTTTTCTTTTTCCCACTTAAGATCATTTCTGGTGTGTGATCCTCTGCGGCAATGAAGCGGCTCTTTCCGTCTTCCTTGTAATTTCACATAGACTTGAAGATAGCTGTCTCCATCTGTGGTTTCTGTTTTCTATCCAGGGCTGTTTCCACCCGTCATCACTTGGCTTCTAGTCGCAAGCTTCTCTGCTGACTGCAGAGGTCAAGGGTCGGGGCGCTGTTTTGTTAGTCGTATTCCTGTTTCCCATCACCCACCAGTTCCTCTCACCTCTGCCTTCTTCCTCAGTGGACACCACCCTCCATGGGGTTGGTCAAAATGCTACCTCTAAGATATGCTGTTTAAAACATTTTTCCAGCGGGGTGCCAGCAGGTGGCATAGTGGGTAAGGTGCTAGACTCCCACATGGTTGACTGAATTTCTAGTGTTAGACCCTATGGCTTCAAACTCACACCGGGCACTTGTGTGTGTGTGTGCCCAAAATCCTAGGAGGAGAATGAAGGAGAAAAGATTGAGGTGAGGTGAGGTCATCACCCCTGGGGGGTGATTTCCTGCTTTCTGTCTCTCTGTAGCAAAAGTCTCTCAAAAAATTGTTTTTCTATAGAGGGTGCATGTGTGGTTGCAGGAGAGAAAGAAGGAACGTGAGGAAGCATTTCCCACGAGACCTGATCATGCTGTAATCCCTCCTCTGTCCCCCTCATTTAGGGATTTTGGGCACATGTGCACATGCAGCCGGTATGTTTCCCAAGCCACCAGTCCAGGACTCAGACTGTGCCACTGGCCATGTGGGTTCCAGCCACCTTAACCACCAGGCCAGCAACTGGCCCTAAATACATGTTTTAAGTGGTATATGCGTATGGTGAAAAAATTTCCAAAAAAGAACAGAAAAGCTAGTCCCTCATAGCCAACCTTTAAGTGCATCAGTTTTCGTCCCTGGAGGGAATCGTGGTTACCCTTTTCTTGTACAGTATGTACTGCTGGGGTTAGTCTGTAGAATACAGTCATCTCCTTGTTTCTTAAACCTTCGCCTAGGGTCCTCTCCCCTCCGGTTCTGCACTCTGCTCTACCCAGTCATTTGCAGGTCTTCCCTCCTCAGTGCACTGCCCAGCTGCATGCAGCAGAGGGCGCAATTCGCCCAGAGCAGGCGCCATAATGCAGCGCAGAAACCCTAATGTGGCCGATCTGCTCTTTTCTTTAGACAGCTATATCTGTTGAGCAAATGAACTGTGACTGCTCTAATTAGGAGGGGCACTTATGTTGTTATCAAGCAACAGTATTGTTTTATTTTTTCAAGAAAGACTGTCCTCCCAACATGATTGTGAACGTTTCTGGTTTTAGTGACTTACTTTCAGTAGAAGTAGCTATTCGGTGCTGGCAGTGCTTCTCCGGTCCTGGAACTTCTAACTCAGTTTCCTTCCATCTGCCCGCAGGTCCTCCGTCATCACAGGGATCCAGAGACAGCCGTCGCTTCGCCAGCTTGAGCCACGCCCTGCAGGCACAGTGCTGCATTTCTTCCGCCAGGAACTTGGCGGCCCAGCAGTACAGGCCGTATAGTTTCTTCACAAAGTGTACGTAGCGTGGCCAGGCTTCTCATGTCAAGAAACAGAAAAGTAAAAGATGTCTTATGTCGTCAGTTTTCTACTTTCTTAAATAACGTTTTAGTGGTGCACTGTTAAAAATGATCTTCGCTGTGCACGTACACATATACACGTAAACTTTATTTTGTAAAACTGTGATAGTGAATCATTGCACACATATTGCGTTGTCGGGAAGTCAGGACACATTTTTTGCATGGGAAAGCATAAAAATACATTGTTGCTTTCTCGACTACCTGATAGTAACCTCCCTATTCCCTTCTAGAAAATGACAGAAAAGAGTTGAAATACTATTCTATTTCAGATAACCTTTTAGGTTAATTAGAATCTTAAACTGGATGTGAAACTCAAATCTGTTAAAATTTGTCAAAAGAACTTAATTCTACTTGTGACCATTATGAAGTCACGCTCGTGAGTAACATTTAAGAATATGGAAAAGAATATAGAATGCAATGTGGTACATATTGTGTAATTTCAGTTTTCTTTAAAACAAACAAATATACGTGCTTGATGCGTGTGTAAAGAAAAAGGCAAAATGTACATTATGGTCTAATACCAGTAACAGGATTATGATTTTTATAGTCTTGTTTTTCAGGCTTATAAAAATAACTTTTATAATCCGAGAAGAGATGAAAAGACATTTAAAATAGCATGATGACATTCAAAAGTTAATGTATAACTTGATCTTAAAAAAAATGTAGTTAGAAATTTGTGGCAAGGTAGTTAAAGGCACTGGACTCCCACATGGCTGATCACAGTTCAAGTCCCAGACCTGGTGGCTTGCTTTCTTACTTTCCCTTTCTCTCTCTCTGTCTCTCTCTGATCAAATTGGAAAATAATAATAATAATAATAATAAAATAAAATAAAATAATTCTTTAAAAAATGTAGTTAGAATTTTTACTACTCTCTTAAAGAATTAAACTCTTTTTTTAAAAAATTATTTAATTTTGTTAATTATTATTTTAAATTTGCTTTGGGGCATTTACATTTATGAGAGAGAGACAGAGATAGAAAGAGATAGAGAGAAAGTGGAAAGCAAGCTGCCAGGTCCAGGACTCAAAGTGTAGTCGGCCATGTAGGAGTCCAGCACCTTAATCACCATGCCACCTGCTGGCCCAAGAGCTAAACTCTAAATTTAGACTTACCTTTTTCTCTCAATATTAAGTTCCTTTTTATTTATTTAATTATTTATTTATTTTTGCAGAGAGAGAGAGAAAACGTGAGAAAGTAAGAAGGTGCAGTTGGCCATGTGAGACTCTAGCGCCTTAACCGCCACGCCACCTGCCGGCCCCCACAGCATGATTTTTAAGCCACCAGGTCCAGGACTTGAACCACAGTTGGTCATGTGGGAAACCAGTGCCTTAACCACCATGCCATCTACTGGCTCATCCCCAAGTTCTTTTTAACATGGGACCCCTTTTAGTGTTAAACAGTGACTGACTTCTGACTCTAAGTGAAGGAAAGCTCGGTAATCGATGGGCCTCTTAGAGTACCCACTTACAAACGGCAGATTTTCGATGGCATTTATGGGTACCATTATTTTAAGCAGTTGGAAGGAAACAGCAAGGCTTCAGTGCAAGTTTAGTTCGAGGTTACCTCTGGTCCTTTTTCTCTGGCGAGAGATGGATGAAACAGCATGGGCATGGGTCTCGTTTATTTTCTGCACTTTGCTTTTGAAGACCAGCTGTAATATATGCGTGTGTTCTGAACAATGGAATACTACACGTTTAGTTATATTACAAATCGAAGACCTTTCCCCTTTCTGCGTATTATAGAGTGAGGACCAGGGAACAGGCAGGTAGAACTTTCAAACCCTGTACGAGTTCATTAGAGGAGATGAAGGTGCTCATTTATCTTCTAGCGTATACTTCGTATTTATCAGGCACATCGATGTGTCTCAGAATTTCAAGTACTCCAACATTTGTGTGGTCTGATTCTTTTTATCCATCTATATATCTATCTATTTATTTTTTAAGTTTTGCCATAGGGCACCTGCATTCACTGGAGAGCGACAGAGACAGAAAGAAGGAGAGAAAGTGAGAAATCATCCCCCTGGGAGGGGAGTGACCATGCTATAACCCTTTTCCTCCCTTCTCTCAGGATTTGAGCACGCACGTACACACGCCCAGCATGATTTTCAAGCTGCTGGGTCCAGGACTCAAACCACAGAGTTGGCGCCTTAACCTCCATGCCACGTGCCGGCCTGTGCCGTGATTCATTATGAAATAAATGGGTAATGCTGCAGTGTCAGTGGTTATACAGATCAACTGGTGATTCAGTAAAAGGCTGGAAGTCCTTGAGCAGCCCATTGAAATCCAACAAATAAATTGGCTATAACAATGAAATTCAGATATGGTCAAAAATAAAGAATGTAAAAGAAACTACTGATGGAGATGTGTGATTGAAGAGTAGCTGGGAGTCTTAGGAATTCGCAAGTGGGGCTGAGTGAGTGGTGTCAGGGCCTATCCTGGACCCACGTGCAGTGTTGCCATCAGACTCCTGAACACGCTTTCTTCCCGTGTCGCTTAGACTTTAACTGGAGTTGAAGGTGAATTCGAGTACTTTGTTTTGAAGAAAACACATTTAGGGCACTTACATAAGAACAGAGAGAACAATTGAAATTCTTTAGTCTTGGGGCCAGCAGGTGGCGTGGTGGTTGAGGTGCTAGACTCCCACATGGCCATCCACAGTTCAAGTCCTGGACCTGGTGGCTTGCTGTCTCACCTTCTCTCTCTCTCTCTCTGGTAAGCACACATACCTTATAGCAAACTGAAAAAGAATAAATAATTAATGGGTTCAGATTGAAATATTGGTTCTAGTTTGGACTAAGTCACCTCTACTTAGAACGGATAATTACTGATTATCCCAATGGACAGGGAAGCGCTCTATGCCATAGTTGATAAAAAGGCAGGGGAACACAGCGACTGCTAACCGGGATTTCAGTGTTGGCCATCTCCTGTGGGGGAAGTGATAGAGGTGTTTCATCCGGGGCTTCCCAGACAACCATCGGATGTGTGCCAAGACTGATTGTGTTTTGCCTTCGTTACTTCAGTGACGTGAGTGATGTTGACCTCCTCTGCCTTTTCTTAGCTGATAGGAAGCCATAGGTCATTGCCCGGAAACTACTGACTTTTAAAACCCTCGTCTCATCACAGTGACGGCAGACGAGCTTTGGAAAGGAGCCTTAGCGGAGACTGGTGCCGGAGCAAGAAAAGGAAGAGGCAAAAGAACTAAGAAAAAGAGAAGGAAGGACCTGAATAGGGGTCAGGTCATCGGCGAAGGTACGCTTACTTACAAAAACAGTGGTGGTGGTTAAAAACGTTTTTGGGGGGCCAGCAGGTGGCATAGCGGTTAAGGGCACTGGACTCCCACATGACCAACCACAGTTCAAGTCCTGGACCTGGCAACTTGCTTTCTCACTTTCCCTCTCTCTTTCTCTCACTCTGCCCCTCTTTGGTCAAATTAAAATAAATAAAGTTAAATAAAAATAATTCTTGAAACAATTTTTTTCTCCTGATTTTATGGGTGTTTTATAATCTGGAAGCATCAAACATTTCTCATGAAGGGCGCTGGGATCTGTGGTTTTAGAGTCCAACGAAATGGCTTACTCGTTGCCCGGGATTAGAAAAAGCCTACAGAAAGGGATTCCTTCAATTAGTTAGTTGTTTAACAAGCATAAAAGTCCCTGTGTGGCATCTCTTATGTTGAAAAACTGGCAAATGGGACCACCAGATGTAATGGTCACATCACTAGATTCTCATGCAGTTGACCATGGTTCGAGTCCTGGACCCGGTGGCTTGAAACTCATGCTGGACACCTGTGTGTGTGTGTGTGCCCAAGATCCCAAGAGGAGAATGAAGAGAAGGGATTATAGCATGACCAGCCCCCGTGGGGGGTGATTTCTCACTTTCTGTCTCTCTGTCTCTCTCTGTCTCTCTGGTGAGCTCGTGTGCCCTATAGCAAAAATTTCTCTTAAAAAAAAAAAGAAAAGCTGACACTTAAGTGGGAGAAGATGGGATAACTGTAGACTTGGCCGAATTTCTCTGCAAAGGGAAAGATAGTAAATGTTTCACAGAACAAGTCATGGGCTGGATTTGGTCCGTGGGCCTTCGTTTGCTGATCCTTAGAACACATGATTGCTTATACTTTTTATTTAAATGAGCGAGAGAGAAAGACAGGTACCTGACAAAGTCTGGCCAGTGGGATCCTCTGTCCTGACCTCTAGTTAGCTAGGCTCCCGGGTGTGGCTGTTGCCCTAGGTAATGGGATAATGTGGAGTCGCTAGTAGTAGGGTAGGGATGTTTAAAATCTTAATTGTACCAAGTGGCCTGCCAAGTGGCTGTATTAGCTCACAACCAACAGTGCGTTGTCATCTGCACACGTGGCCTGGTGTTTGGTTTATGTTTTTCTAGGTTGTTATAGGGCATGTGCGCTCACTAGAGAGAGAAACAGAGAGACAGAGAAAGTGAGAACTCACCCTCTGGGGGAGATGGCCATGTCACAATCCCTTCTCCAGTCCCCTTTGGAGACTCTAGGGACGCGTGCATTCACACCCCGTGTGTTTTTTAAGCCGCTGGGTCCAGGACTCAAACCATGCAGTTGGCCATGGGGGATCCAGCCACCTGAACCACCATGCCACAGGCTGGCCCCGCAAATGAAAGCTTTGTAAAAGTTCTTGTCTACCTGTATGTTTGCACCTGTAGGACGACACGGGTACCTGTGGCCTGGTCTGAATGTGCCTCTCATGAGAAATGGAGCCGTCCAGACCATTGCCCAAAGAAGCAAAGAGGAGCAGGAGCAGGTGGAGGCGGACATGGTCCAGCAGCGGGAAGAGTGGGACCGGAGGAAGAAGATGAAGGTCAAGCGGGAGCGAGGATGGAGCGGGAACACGTGGGGAGGCGTCAGTCTTGGCCCCCCTGACCCTGGTCCCAACGGAGGTAATGGAGTCCTGGTTTACTCACCTTTGACAGAAAATACTTGTTCTAGAATTTCTAGGAAGGGATTTTACTGACTCATCTGCTTAAATTGCCTTGTTTGAAAAAAAGGATTTGAGCATCTTGGGACCAGCAGCTGGCGTAATGGCTATGTCTCTGAACTCCCATGTAGTTGACCGCGGTTCGAATCCTGGACCGGTGGCTTAAACTCACACCGGGCGCGTGTGCCTGCGTGCCCAAGACCCCGAGAGGAGAATGGAGGAGAAGGGATTGCGGCGTGACCATCCCCCCTGGGGGGTGATTTCTCGCTTTCTGTCTCTCTGTCTCTCTCTATCTGTCTGGCGAGCACACGCACCCTGTAGCAAAAACCTCTCCAAAAAAAAAAAAAAAAAGAAAAAAAAGAAAAGGACTTGAGCATCTTTAAAATAATGAGCACAGTATCATCCCAGCTGTTTTGTGGAACACCGAAGGCCTGTGCCCAGGAAGAACTCCACCAGCGGGGCTGGGAGGCACTTCCCTGGTTCCTGGTGCTCTCCCGTGGCCTCTCAGACCGTAACTGTGGTGATGCACACTGTGGGTGTATAGGCGCTTGCCTACAGGGGATGGTGTTTCCCAAACACAGTTGGCCATGGGGCTTCATTTAGTCTATAAGGAGGAGGTGGAGTTGTTGCTGGAAAGTGAGGTGGGTGTGGAGGAGGGATATTTCGTGAGAAGGTAGGGATGTGGTGCTGGCTTCAGAATCATCCAGTGGGTGGGAGCTTGGCTTTAGAGGAGAGAGACCGGCCGTGAGTTGATAGTTGTTGAAGCTGACTAATGGATCCATCAGCTTTCATCCTGCTGTCCTGTTTTTACATATGTGAAGTTTTCTATAACTTTAAGGTTTTTAAAAGTAAAATGTCACAAAGAGCATTTGGAATGGCAGCTGTGGGGAGCAGAGGAGACCTAACTAACAACTCCGAAGGCCAGCAGGCAGCAGGGAGGCCTCGGATTGCAGGCTGTGTGTCTTTGGGCCCGCGGCTGTGCTGTGCTTGGACTTCTCTGCAGCACCAGCAGGCCAGGCGCGGCCAGGCAGCTGCAGTGGTTCGGGCTGGAGTAGTGTAGGAGAGAAAAGTGGGGAGGGTCCTGAGGACATACTCAAGATCTGGCAGGCATGATGGGCCGCGGTGTCTGGGCTGCCGTTGAGAGCAGAGAAGCAAGCATCCATTGAGGAGGTGGGGGGCGGGGCCCCAGGAACCATGGCTGCGGGTGCAGTGCCTGGGAGCTGCAGGGGCAGCAGCGTGCGGCCGATCGGTGATTAGGTGAAGAGTTCCGTTTGCAGCAGTCTCTGGTGAGGCTGGGGGCCCAGGGTGTGGCCCTGAGATGGCACCAAATCTGAGATTCTTTCTCACTCTTCGTAGAAGTCTGTGCTGGAAAACGCTTTCCCAAGCAAACAGTGCAGGCACATTTATCTGTGTGCTCATTTCTTTCCTCTCTGCAGAAACGTACGATGATTTTGACACCAGGATACTCGAGGTAGGCAGGCTGCACAGATGCCGGTGAGCCTTGGGAGAGGGTGTCGGTGGGGATGGGGAAGAGGGGCCGTGAGGAACTGCCTTTGATGTGTGACTGGCGGATGCTGCTGATCTGGGTGAGGAAATAAAACTCTCATTTCAGTTCCTCGGTACTGACTGTCCCGACTGCTGCCCTTCTGGGGGAGCTACTGATTGAGTCTCTTGACAAAGCGGCTGCAGGGATGTGGACAGCAGCAGAATATACAAATTAACTTTCAGCTCCTGCCTCCTCATACTTGCGTAGCTTAGCAGTCTGTCCGGGAGTTATACCGCTGTTGGCACTAACACGCAAGTCAGGGAGCAGAGATTGGGAGCAGCCAGGGGCAGGGCTAAGGGCTCGGCGTCCGCAGTGAGTGTCCAGATCCTGGGGACATCGTCTCTGGGTTGCATGCAGGCCCTGGAAACCAAAGCCTATGTCAAGTAACCTTCAGTCACTTTCTGCAGCATTCTCTAAAATAGTAATGTCCCTCTGAGCTGGCACTGCATTCACTTAATCGGTGGTAAATATCACACGGAGGTGCTAGCAGGTGGCATGGTGATGAATGCCCTGGACTCCCACATGGCCAGCTGTGGTTCAAGTCCCGGACCTGGCATTTTGCTTTCCCTCTCTCTCTCTCTTTCTCTGGTGAGTACATGTGCCCTGTAGCAAATTAAAAAAAAAACAAAAATGATGATGAAATTAATGTTCATGTAAAGGGACCGTCATGAACTAGGGAGCCTGGCCTGCTGCCAGGTAAGCAGTTTAATAAACAAATTTATAGTTTTTGGGCCTCGAAAGTAGCACCCTCCCCCAAAATGCACATTTCCCTGTAGTTTATAACAAACAGGTTTTTCCAAGTTTTCTATTCTCTGTTGAGCCTAATCCATAACACAGAGGTCCAGTTTTATGTAATTATTTCTATACACTGCATTCATTATTTATAAGATGTGCGTTTTTCATATTTGAACACCTTGGATATCGGGGACATAGGTCATAATCAGTGATAGACTATTTCAGAGTTTAATCAGCAGTTTTTTTCTTGTGATACATTGGGTTACCTTGAAAGGTTGTCTCAGTTGGTCTTCCTAGTAACCCCATGGAATAGGAGGAGAAAGCTTATTTCTGAAGAAACAGCCCAGAAGGAAGTTTCCTTCAGAGAAGGTTGTTGCTTGCGCTCATGGAATTGGCTGATGGCATGCCCGTTCTCCTGGTGTGCGTGGGCGTGAGTGAGGCAAGACCCTACCAAAGAGATTTTTTTTTTTTAACTCTTTTTTTTTTTTTAACTTTTTATTTATTATTATTATCATTATTATTTTCCAGTTTGATCAGAGAGAGACAGAGAGAGAGAGAGGAAGTGAGAAAGCAAGCTACCAGGTCCGAGACTTGAACCGCGGTTGGCCATGTGGGAGTCCAGCGCCCTTAACCACCATGCCACTTGCCGGCCCCGCAAAGAGTTTTCATTAAGTGTAATATTCATGAGATGTTTTATCTTCTAGGTAAGAAATGTTTTCAATATGACAGCAAAAGAGGGAAGAAAGAAATCTGTCCGCGTCCTGGTAGCTGTGGGCAACGGAAAAGGCGCAGCAGGTGAGAGGGGTGTGGGCTGCAGGGGGGCGGGGCAGGGCCGAGGCCGGAAGTGGTTGGACCGTGCCATGGCGTGGGGGCTGTATGCTGTGGGCAGGACTTTCTGCCGATGGAAGCTTGTAGTGGTTTGGGCTCCAAAACCTGGTGGCAAATCCATGAAATCCCGTACAGGAAAAAGTAAGAATACATCTTCCTAGATCTGCTTTTTATTTTCCTGGGAACAATAGATCTTTTAAAAGGCTAGAAACACTATTGTATTCTGTACAGTAGTGAAAAATTAGGAGGGAAGCACTAATGGTTCCGAAGGGCCACGGTTACAAAAAACAGGGTAGACATACAATGTCATATTCTTCAGCCACTAACGGATTGTGAAAAGTAATGCAGAGGGAGGAGAGGGACCTTCATATAGGACTGAATAATATATTCCAGTTTTTAAAAGTATGTTTATATGCAAAGATAAAACTGGAAGACTATACATTGAAAAGGTTCACAGCGTTTACTTTGATTAGTAAGTTTGCCGATTAGTTAACTTCTCTATACTTTTCTGTGATGTTTTCATAGTGAACATCTGTTTTTGAAATGTATAAAGGAATAAAAAAACGAGGGTCCAGCAGACGGCGTGACAGTTAAGGTGCTGGACTCCCACATGCCCTACTGTGGTTCACGTTCCAGACCCAGTGGTTGAAATTCACGCCAGGCGCAAGTGCATGCGTGGCCAAAATCCTAAGAGAATGGAAGAGGAGGGATTGCAGTGTGGCCATGCCCCTGAGGGGGTGATTTCTCACTTTTCACTATTTCTGTCTGTCTCTTACTGGCAAGTGCACTCACCCTATGGCAGAAGCCTTAAAAAAAATAAAAAATAAATAAAAAATGGAAAAGGAAACTGGAAAATTGCTTTCTTAATCCATATGGACACTTTCAAAACAAAAGTGACACGTATACACAGTATGTATATTTATCCATTTATTATTTAAATTTAACCAGAGAGGGGCAGAGAGAGAGAGAGAAAAGAGGGAAAGTGAGAAAGCAAGCTACCAGGCCCAGGATTCAAACCACAGTCGGCCATATGAGAGTCCAGCAACCTAAACCACCATGCCACCTGCTGGCCCCAAGCTGAACAATTTTTATAACCTTTTCCCTTCTGCTGAGTCCTTAATTTACAAAGAGCTTATGCCAACAAATAAGGAATGTTTTCAGTAATGTTTCTAATTTTTTAATATTTATTTAAAAAATTAAGCTTCTTGTACATATAATTTGTGGTACTTTTTTTTTTTTTTTGAGAGGGGTTTTTGCTATAGGGGGCGTGTACTTGCCAGAAAGACAGAGAGAGACAGAGAGACAGAGACAGAAAGCGAGAAATCACCTCCCAGGGGGGATGGCCACACCGCAATCCCTTTTCCTCCGTTCTCCTCTTGGGATCTTGGACATGCATGCACACACGCCCGGCATGAGTTTTAAGCCACCAGGTCCGGGACTTGAACCGTGGTCGATTACATGGGAGTCCAGCGACATAGCCATTACACTAACTGCTGGTCCCTAATTTGTGGTACTTTTAAGTACAGCAGTGGGGGAAATTCTTACTCTGACATTGCTGCCTTAAAGTTATATGCATTTTTTTAAAATATTATTTTATTATTTATTTATTTATTTTAAAAATTTGACCAAAGAAGGACAGAGCAAGAGAGAGAGGGAAAGTGAGAAAGCAAGCCACCAGGTCCAGGACTCGTACTATGGTTGGCCATGTGGGAGTCCAGTGCCTTTAACCACCACGCCACCTGCTGGCCCCAGTTATGCGCATTTTAATCGTTAAGTATTGCCAGATTGCCCCCTAAAAGTTGCATCAGTTGAGGCCCCTCTCTACATCTCACCCTTGCCAGCTCTGGGTATTTTCAAACTCTACTGACTGTCAGTAAGATGCGTTAAACCCATCTTGGTTTTTATTTTAATTTCAATAATAATGAGAGTTTGGAGACCATTTTGCGTGTTTATCGGCCCTTCTTCCTTTTTGAGATTTGTCCGTTCTTGTGCTTGTCCGTTTTTCTATCGGGTAATTGTTCTGATTCATTGGTATAAGCTCTTTGTAAATGAAGGACATTAGCCCTTTGTCTTATCGATATTTTGATTTGGTTTCTAATTTTGTTCACACAGAACTTCTAAATCCACAAGTTTTAAACCTTCTTATTGCAGATTTATTAGTCTTTTAGCACATGGTTAGAAAGCCTTCTTGAGAAGGTTGTAAATATTGGGTCATCGGGAAAGGCACGACACATTTCTGCAGAGAAAAACAGAAAAATGCGTCTTGACTTTTCCTGACGAACTAATAAGTTCACTCATATTTTCCTCTCGGATTTTCATGGTTTCGTTTGTTTTATTTTTGAACTAGGAATCGGAATACATAGCCCCATTCTTCCCAAGTCACAGACGTCTTGACTGTCTCATGGGGCAGAATTATCTCATGGTACTTCCCTATACAGTTAAAAATAAATGACTTCCTTCAAAATAAACCATTGATAGTGTCAGTAAATTGTTTTAATTTCCTGGCTAATTAAAATCTGAATTTTAGAAAGTTCTAGTGAAATCATGGCTTTGCCCTATGGCCATGTATGTTTATTGCTAGCCTTCCTGGTTATTTTTATCTAATTTCAAAAACGTCCAGAACATGAGGCCAGTGGGTGGTGTGGTGCTTAAGGTGCTGGACACCCACGTGGCCGAGTGCAGTTTGAGTACCGGACCCAGCAGCTTAACACTCATGTCAGATATGTGCGCATGCCCACAGTCCCAAGAGGAGAACGGAGAGGGACTGCAGTGTGGCCATCCCCCGTCCCCAGTGGGGGTGTGATTTTTTGTTGCCTGTTTTCCAGTGAGTGCACATACCCTATAGCAAAAATCTCTCTAAAAAAAAAAACCCCAAAAAGTAAAAAACCATTTTCCTTATTAACTTAGAGCATATTTCGTTTTCTAACTTGTACATTTACTTGTATGTAAAGGAGTAATATCATGCACCTGATCTTGGATTTCATGAGAATGTCCAAATGCATTTCTAGAATGCCTCAGAGCAGATAGGCCAATCTCTGTAGCCTCATGCATTGTTGCTGGTTTTAGATAGCAGGATTTCTCTGGGCAGTAGAAAGATGAAGTTCTATAGAATGTTTTAGAAACTGAAGCACGAACGTAGTAAAAGACACTCTTATGTGCAAAATTTATGTCCCTTTTCTTATTTTTGCTTTTTCTTTGAAAGGTTTTGCTGTTGGGAAAGCCACTGAACGGGCAGATGCTTTCAGAAAAGTATGTATTTTTTTTTTTCTTTGCTGACATTCAATAAAAGATCAATAAGCTTTGTGCTAGATACCATGGGAACCACAAAAAAGATCAGACTCTTCCCATGAGGCTTGTTGTTAAAGGTCACGTATCTCAGGGCCATGGTGGTTGAGGTGCTGGACTCACCCGTGGCTGACTGTGGATCAAGTCCCAGACCTGGTGGCTTGAAACTCACACCAGGTGCGTGTGTGTGCGTGCCCAGAATCCAGAGTGGAGAATGGAGGAGAAGGGTTGCCATGTGGCCATCCCTCAGGAAGTGATTTCTCTCTTTATGTCTCTCTCTGTGTGTCTGTGGCCTGTGCACATGCCTTCTAACAAAAATCTCTTCCCCCCAAAAGAAAAAAAGATTACTTATCTCTTCACAAGTAGTATCAGAAGCATCTGTATTCTTATGTATCATTTTTGTCAGACTCGTTGCTTACCAAATTATAAAACAGCTATAGAAGTTTGAACACACACCCGACGCAACTCTCAGGTGACGCTTCTGGTTAGGGAAAATGGCCGCGGCCGTTCGGGACTCACGTGTGAATGCGGGCAAAAAGCTGAAAAATTCTCTGAAGAAGAAGAAGATGAAAATGGTAGCCAAGGCTGTAGCATCGGAACTAGAAGATGAGGTTAAAAACGATTCCGACCATGGAGGTTTTGCAGGAAGCTGTGAATTGGAGAAGGATTGCTTTTCTTCTGATGATGGAGCAATAGAAGCTGACAGTGAAGATGATGCTGAACCCTTTGACAAAGAAAATGAAAGTGCTGCAGAATCAAGTGCTGGGACTAATGTAGGCTGGGCAGATGCCATGGCCAAAATCCTTAACAAAAAAACTCCTAAAAGCAAACCCACCATTCTGGTCAAAAACAAAGAGCAGGAAAAGGAAAAAGAAAAGTTGAAGCAAGAAAGACTAGAGAAAAGAAAACAGCTTGATAAGAAGCGGGAGTGGGAAATGATGTGCAGAGTAAAGCCAGATGTTGTCAAAGACAAGGAAACAGAAATCTTCAGAGGATTGCAACGAGGGGTGTGGTGCAGTTATTTA